TAAACCCTGAACCCTAATTCCTAAACGGCTTAAGGTTCAGGGATCCCCAACATCCCCCAACTATCGGCCTAAGCACCCACTGAGGACGAGAGGGCCCCTGCTAAAGGGTACTTGGGGTCACTAGCTGGGGATGAATGTTGTGCGACATAGGGATTTCTAGGGACGAGGGTTAGGGTGTCCGTCTTCAAGAAGGACGTCTCGCAGAAGCCCCGGAGTTAATGACGGGCTTTTGCACTCCACAAGCTTTGAGTTGTGCCCAGATACAGTCATGGTTCAACCTTAGTAGTAGAGCAGGTAACCTTTATCCGTTTTCAGGTACTCTAGCCCCTATACACACCCAAAGGTTAAGCTTTAGTTCACCTATGAGACCGGAGAAGTACCAAAGTTCAAACCTCAAACCCAGAGCCTGCTGAAACTCCAAACTTCGCCCCAGGTGGACACTGGCTCTGGGCTTTGCAGCTGCTGTTTGGAATGCCAAGTCGCCGGCTTTTGCCAGACGAGATCAGTCGTACTGCTGGCATCAGCGCCAGTGAGCAAGGTGGACAATGGGCGATGGCCCTGCGTCTGTTGTCCGAACTTTTCCAGGCCAGGCCCGCGCCCGATCAGATCAGCATGAATGCAGGGATTAGTGTCTGCGAAACAGTTGGCGATTGGGAGCTGGCGCTGCACCTGCTGACGGTGATGTCTGCTGGCAGACATACCATTGACCAGTATAGCTTCAACGCTGCCATTGGTGCCTGCCGGAAAGGCGGGCGGTGGCTGATGGTATTGCAGCTGCTTGGGAACATGTTGCAAGCCAAAGGCACGCCTGATGTCATCTCCTTCTACAGCGCAGTTGAGACATTCAGCGCAATGTCTCTGAGTCATGTTCCAGATGTTTTATTCAAGCTGAATTCAGCCGCCATGTCACAAATTGAATGGCACCTTTGCCAGTGCAAGCCGGTCAGTAGTACAGAAGCCTGAAAGCAAGCAACTGACTTCCTCCGGAAGCCTTTTTCGCAGGCCGATGCACCGTGCAAGGTGACGTGTCGGTGGCCGATTTCGAGATTCTGCATGCAACCTCGTGTCCGCTGTCGCCTTTGAAGAGGGTTATTCTATCCTAAACCCTAAACCCTA